ACACACAACACACAATAATACACACAACACACACACAATAATACACACACAACACACAACACAACACAACACACAATACACACAACACACAACATAATACACACAACACACAACATAATACACACAACAACACAACAACAACACAACACACAACATAATACACACAACACCACAACATAATACACACAACACACAACATAATACACACAACACACACAACACACACAACACACACATAATACACACAACATAATACACACAACACACAACAACACACAACATACACACAACACACAACATAATACACACACACACACAACACACAACATAATACACACAACACACACAACATAATACACAAACACACATAATACACACAACACTACACAACACACACAACATAATACACACAACAACAACAACACAATACACACAAACATAATACACACAACACACAACATAATACACACAACACACAACATAATACACACACACAATACACAAACAACACACAACATACAACAACACACAATACACACACAACACACACACATAATACACACAACACACACATAATACACACACACACACACACACACACTAATACACACAACACACAACATACACACAACACACAACACACACAACATAATACACACAACAACATACACACAACACTACACACATACACACAACACAACATAATACACACAACACACAACATAATACACACACACACACATAATACACACAACACACACAACAACACAACACAACACAATACACACAACACACAACATAATACACACAACACACAACAACAACAACACACAACATAATACACACAACACACAACATAATACACACAACACACAACATAATACACACAACACACACAACATAATACACACAACATAATACACACAACACACACAACACACAACATAATACACACAACACTAATACACACAACACACACATAATACACACAACACACAACACACACAACATAATACACACAACACAACATAATACACACACAACAACAATAATACACACAACACATAATACACACAACACACAACATAATACACACACACACATAATACAACACACACACACACAACAACACACACACATAATACACACACACACAACACACACAACAACACACACATACACACAACACAACATAACACACAACACACCACAACAACATAATACACAACACACAACACAACAACACACACAACAACATACACACAACACACAACAAATACACACACTGTGTTGTTGTGTTGTGTTGTTGTGTTGTTGTTGTGTTGTGTTTGTTGTTGTTTGTTGTTGTTATTGTTGTGTGTGTGTGTTGTTGGTTGTTGTGTGTTGTTTGTGTGTGTTGTTGTGTGTTGTTGTGTGTTATCCTAGTGTGAGTGGTGTGTCTGTTGTGTGAGTCCTGGAGTGAGTGTTGTTGTTGTCTGAGTTGTGTCCTGTTGTAAGTTGTGTTGTGTGTTGTGAGTCCTGTTGTTGTTGTTGTGTGTGTTTGTGTGTGTTTTTGTTGTTGTGTGTGTTGTGTAGTGTTGTGTGTTGTGTGTATTGTTGTGTTGTGTGTTGTTGTTGTTGTGTGTGTATGTGTGTGTGTGTGTGTGTTGTTTTGTGTTGTGTTGTGTGTGTTGTGTTGTTGTGTGTGTTGTTGTGTGTGTGTGTGTTGTTGTGTTGTTGTGTGTGTTTGTGTGTGTTGTGGTTGTGTGTGTGTTTATGTGTGTTGTGTTGTGTTGTTGTGTTGTGAGTCTGTCCTGGAGTTTCTTTTCTCTGTCGAGTCTCTGGATCGAGCTGTGAGTCACTGGAGACTCGCCTGAGACTCACGATGGAGTGCTCCTGGTTACACAGTGGCTGACCTCCAGTCAGAGGACTGGTGTGAGGGAGTCTGGAGTCTGAGTCCTGGAGTGTGAGTCCTGGAGTCCTGGAGTCCTGGAGTGTGAGTCCTGGAGTCCTGAGTTGAGTCCTGAGTCCTGGAGTCTGAGTCCTGGAGTCCTGAGTCCTGGAGTCTGAGTCCTGGAGTCTGAGTCCTGGAGTGTGAGTCCTGGAGTCTGAGTCCTGGAGTCCTGGAGTGTGAGTCCTGGAGTCCTGGAGTGAGTCCTGGAGTCTGGAGTCCTGGAGTCTGAGTCCTGGAGTGGAGTCTGGAGTCTGAGTCCTGGAGTGTGAGTCCTGGAGTCCTGGAGTCCTGGAGTCCTGGAGTGTGAGTCCTGGAGTCTGAGTCCTGGAGTCTGATCTGGAGTCTGAGTCTGGAGTCCTGGAGTCCTGGAGTCTGAGTCCTGGAGTGTCCTGGAGTCCTGGAGTCCCTGGAGTCCTGAGTCCTGGAGTCCTGGAGTCCTGGAGTGTGAGTCCTGGAGTCTGTGAGTCCTGGAGTGAGTCCTGGAGTGAGTCCTGGAGTCTGAGTCCTGGAGTGTGAGTCCTGGAGTCCTGGAGTCTGAGTCCTGGAGTCCTGGAGTCCTGAGTCCTGAGTCCTGGAGTCCTGAGTCTGAGTCTGGAGTCTGGAGTCTGGAGTCCTGGAGTGTGAGTCCTGGAGTCTGAGTCCTGGAGTCCTGGAGTCCTGGAGTGAGTCCTGAGTCCTGGAGTGTGAGTCCTGAGTCTGAGAGTGAGTGAGTCTGACCTGGAGTGTGAGTCCTGGAGTCTGAGTCCTGGAGTCTGTGAGTCCTGGAGTCCTGGAGTCCTGGAGTCTGAGTCCTGGAGTGTGAAGTCCTGAGTCCTGAGTCCTGGAGTGTGAGTCCTGGAGTGTGAGTCCTGGAGTCCTGGAGTCCTGGAGAGTCCTGGAGTGAGTCCTGGAGTGTGAGTCCTGGAGTCTGAGTCCTGGAGTCTGAGTCCTGGAGTCTGAGTCCTGGAGTCTGAGTCCTGGAGTCTGGAGTCCTGGAGTGTGAGTCCTGGAGTCTGAGTGTGAGTCCTGGAGTCCTGGAGTCTGAGTCCTGGAGTCCTGGAGTCCTGGAGTGTGAGTCCTGGTGAGTCCTGAGTCCTGGAGTGTGAGTCCTGGAGTGTGAGTCCTGGAGTCTGAGTCCTGGAGTCTGAGTCCTGGAGTCTGAGTCCTGGAGTGTGAGTCCTGGAGTCTGAGTCCTGGAGTGTGAGTCCTGGAGTGTGAGTCCTGGAGTCTGAGTCCTGGAGTCTGAGTCCTGGAGTGTGAGTCCTGGAGTCTGAGTCCTGGAGTCTGAGTCCTGGAGTCTGAGTCCTGGAGTGTGAGTCGTCCTGGAGTGTGAGTCCTGGAGTGTGAGTCCTGGAGTGTGAGTCCTGGAGTGTCCTGGAGTCCTGGAGTCTGAGTCCTGGAGTGAGTCCTGGAGTCCTGAGTCCTGGAGTCCTGAGTCCTGGAGTGTGAGTCCTGGAGTCTGAGTCCTGGAGTCTGAGTCCTGGAGTCTGAGTCCTGGAGTCTGAGTCCTGGAGTCTGAGTCCTGGAGTGTGAGTCCTGGAGTCTGAGTCCTGGAGTCTGAGTCCTGGAGTCTGAGTCCTGGAGTGTGAGTCCTGGAGTCTGAGTCCTGGAGTCTGAGTCCTGGAGTGTGAGTCCTGGAGTGTGAGTCCTGGAGTCTGAGTCCTGGAGTCTGAGTCCTGGAGTGTGAGTCTGAGTCTGAGTCCTGGAGTGTGAGTCCTGGAGTCCTGGAGTCCTGGAGTGTGAGTCCTGGAGTGAGTGGAGTCTGAGTCTGGAGTGTGAGTCCTGGAGTCTGAGTCTGGAGTGTGAGTCCTGGAGTCCTGGAGTCCTGGAGTCTGAGTCTGGAGTCCTGGAGTGTGAGTCCTGGAGTGTGAGTCCTGGAGTCCTGAGTCCTGGAGTCCTGGAGTCTGAGTCCTGGAGTGTGAGTCCTGGAGTCTGAGTCCTGGAGTGTGAGTCCTGGAGTGTGAGTCCTGGAGTGTGAGTCCTGGAGTGTGAGTCCTGGAGTGTGAGTCCTGGAGTCTGAGTCCTGGAGTCTGAGTCCTGGAGTGTGAGTCCTGGAGTGTGAGTCCTGGAGTGTGAGTCCTGGAGTCCTGGAGTGTGAGTCCTGGAGTGTGAGTGAGTCTGAGTCTGAGTCCTGGAGTCTGGAGTCCTGGAGTGTGAGTCCTGGAGTGTGAGTCCTGGAGTCCTGGAGTCCTGAGTCCTGGAGTCTGGAGTCCTGAGTGAGTCCTGAGTGTGAGTCCTGGAGTGTGAGTCCTGGAGTGTGAGTCCTGGAGTGTGAGTCCTGGAGTGTGAGTCCTGGAGTCTGAGTCCTGGAGTGTGAGTCCTGGAGTGTGAGTCCTGGACCTCCTGGAGTGTGAGTCCTGAAGTGAGTCCTGGAGTCTGAGTCCTGGAGTCTGAGTCCTGGAGTCTGAGTCCTGGAGTGTGAGTCCTGGAGTGTGAGTCCTGGAGTCTGAGTCCTGGAGTCCTGGAGTGTGAGTCCTGGAGTGTGAGTCCTGGAGTGTGAGTCCTGGAGTCCTGGAGTCTGAGTCTGGAGTCCTGAGTCCCTGGAGTCTGGAGTCCTGGAGTGTGAGTCCTGGAGTGTGAGTCCTGGAGTCCTGAGTCCTGGAGTTGAGTCCTGGAGTGAGTCCTGGAGTGTGAGTCCTGAGTGTGAGTCTGAGTCTGAGTCCTGGAGTCTGAGTCCTGGAGTCTGAGTCCTGGAGTCTGAGTCCTGGAGTGTGAGTCCTGGAGTCTGAGTCCTGGAGTGTGAGTCCTGGAGTCTGAGTCCTGGAGTCTTTGTTTCGTCCTGGAGTTTGTTGAATCTGAACTGACGAGTTTTGATTAAAATTTTAAATCACGCACCAAGTTTGAACCAAACTTTGCACTGAACGTTTTTCTACCGTTTCACTCCTGAACTCAAATCCGGACCAAGACCAGGACCAGATCCAGGACCAGATCCAGGACCAGATCCAGGACCAGATCCAGGACCAGTTCCAGGACCAGACCTCAGAGCGCGGTCTCGCGGTCTCGCGGGGGCGGGTTCGTTTTATTTGACTCTTTTGTTGTGAAAGGGTTTGGCGGAAGTGCGCGTCAGCTGCTGCAGCGTTTACACCGGTCTGTCAGTGCGCGTGAGTCCAGACCAAACCAGGACCAGACCAGGACCAAACCAGGACCAAACCAGGACCAGACCAGGTCCAGGACCAAGTCATCACCGGGACTAGCGCAGGCCCTGAGCCGGGAGAGGCGCCCCGAGGCCCGGACACATCATGGACCCAGCGCCGCAGCTCCGCGGCCGCAGCGGGGAGACCCGCACACACTGACCGAGCACAGAGCCCCGTCCCCGGGCACAGGAGCAGACCGCAGCCGCTCTCAGGAGCCTGTCCCCGGGTTGGGCGCGCACATGGCCGCGGACGGGACCGGGACCGGGACCGGGACCATCCGCAGTCGGCTCCGGTCTCTGCTCAAGTCCAACTCCATCAAACTGAAGAGGCGCGCGCGACACCCGGAGCATCTCACCACCAAGGTACACACACGCGCACGTGCACGCACGTGCACGCACATACACATACACATGCACACGCACGCGCCTGCTGCACGGACTGGACATTTAATGGTCATTCTTTGGGTCACGTGGTTAGAGGCCTGAGACTGAACCGGAGTTCAGTCCTGGTTTAGTCCTGGTTTAGTCCTATTTTAGTCCTGGTTTAGTCCTGGTTTAGTCCTGGTTCAGTCCTGGTTCAGTCCTGGTTCAGTCCTGGTTTAGTCCTGGTTCAGTCCTGGTTTAGTCCTGGTTTAGTTCTGGTTTAGTCCTGGTGAGAATCCCACAGGTGTGAGACCTTCATGAGGTCCATAAAAGTGGAACATCTCAGTAAACGAACCGTCAGCGTCTCAGATTTGATCTAAAAACTAAAACTAAAACTTTTTCTGGGACTAAAAACTGAAAGTGCAGATGTTTGAATAAAAAGTGTTTTGTGTTTGGACCCAACGTCAAACCAGAAACATCTGCGCCTCAGGAGTCCAACAGCACCAGAACATCATGATCTGAGACCTCAGGGTCTAAACCAGGTCTGGGACTCTGCTCCAGTCTCTGGTCTCTGGTCTCTGGTCTGTAATTGTAGTTGTAGTACTGTAGTTGTTGTAGTACTGTAGTTGTTGTAGTACTGTAGTAGTTGTAGTACTGTAGTTGTAGTACTGTAGTAGTTGTAGTACTGTAGTTGTAGTACTGTAGTCCTGTAGTAGTTGTAGTACTGTAGTAGTTGTAGTACTGTAGTAGCTGTAGTACTGTAGTTGTAGTACTGTAGTTGTAGTACTGTAGTACTGTAGTAGTTGTAGTACTGTAGTTGTAGTACTGTAGTACTGTAGTAGTTGTAGTACTGTAGTAGTTGTAGTACTGTAGTTGTAGTACTGTAGTACTGTAGTTGTAGTACTGTAGTACTGTAGTAGTTGTAGTACTGTAGTAGTTGTAGTACTGTAGTAGTTGTAGTGTTGTAGTACTGTAGTACTATAGTTGTAGTACTGTTTGTTTTGTGTCTTGGATCCTGTTCAGTAAATGTCACTGTTGAAGTATTATTTATACTGCAGTATGTGTGTATGTGATCTTTTACAGTACTTGTATGTGAGTACTACAGTACGTGTGAGTACTACAGTACCTGTGAGTACTGCAGTATTTGTGAGTACTGCAGTATTTGTGTGAGTATACACAGTATTTGTGAGTACTAGTACTACAGTATTTGTGAGTACTACAGTACTGCAGTATTTGTGAGTACTACTACAGTATTTGTGAGTACTACAGTACCTGTGAGTACTACAGTATTTGTGAGTACTACAGTATTTGTGAGTACTACAATACCTGTGAGTACTACAGTACCTGTGAGTACTACAGTATGTATGAGTACTACAGTATGTATGAGTACTACAGTATTTGTGAGTACTACAGTATTTGTGAGTACTACAGTATTTGTGAGTACTACAGTATTTGGGAGTACTACAGTATTTGCGAGTACTGCAGTATTTGCGAGTACTGCAGTATTTGTGAGTACTACAGTATTTGTGAGTACTACAGTATTTGTGAGTACTGCAGTATTTGTGAGTACTGCAGTATTTGTGAGTACTGCAGTATTTGTGAGTACTACAGTATTTGTGAGTACTGCAGTATTTGTGAGTACTACAGTATTTGTGAGTACTGCAGTATTTGTGAGTACTACAGTATTTGTGAGTACTGCAGTATTTGTGAGTACTACAGTATGTATGAGTACTGCAGTATTTGTGAGTACTGCAGTATTTGTGAGTACTACAGTATTTGTGAGTACTGCAGTATTTGTGAGTACTACAATATTTGTGAGTACTGCAGTATTTGTGAGTACTACAGTATTTGTGAGTACTACAGTATTTGTGAGTACTGCAGTATTTGTGAGTACTGCAGTATTTGTGAGTACTACAGTATTTGTGAGTACTACAGTACCTGTGAGTACTACAGTACCTGTGAGTACTGCAGTATTTGTGAGTACTACAGTACCTGTGAGTACTACAGTACCTGTGAGTACTGCAGTATTTGTGAGTACTACAGTATTTGTGAGTACTACAGTATTTGTGAGTACTGCAGTATTTGTGAGTACTGCAGTATTTGTGAGTACTACAGTATTTGTGAGTACTACAGTACCTGTGAGTACTACAGTACCTGTGAGTACTGCAGTATTTGTGAGTACTACAGTACCTGTGAGTACTACAGTACCTGTGAGTACTGCAGTATTTGTGAGTACTACAGTACCTGTGAGTACTACAGTACCTGTGAGTACTACAGTACCTGTGAGTACTGCAGTATTTGTGAGTACTACAGTATTTGTGAGTACTGCAGTATTTGTTCTGCTGAAGTTGAGTCTG